ATATATGCATATACATATAGGATATATTAATATATAATATTGGTTTATATAATGTATGTATGAACGAATGTATGTATGTACATATGTACGTATGTACGTATGTACGTATGTACGTATGTACGTACGTACGTATGTATGTATGTATGTATGTATGTGTGTATGTATGCATGTATGCATGTATGCATGTATGCATGTATGTATGTATATATATATATAATGGTGTGTATGAATGCATGTATGTATATGCATGCATGCATGCATGCATGCGTGTATGCGTGTATGCATGTATGTATGTTTATCTAGTTTTTCGTTCATGCTTTAAGATCCTTATATACATATGTCTTCATCGACTTCACGAATGGCCATGGCTTCTTTCTGCTTGGGGAAGCCAAAACCCTTGTTTCGCAGGCTAAGCCCGACAGAATCCCAATGCGGGACCTTGACAAAAGGTTACAGAGTAGTAGAGTAAGGAAAGTTTGAACCTCATATTAACCTTTGTTGCCCCTAGGATACCGGACAATTAAGGTTGAGGTTTGGGGGTTTAGAGTCCCATGCCAAGTGATCCTTGAATTAACCCGAAGCCCCTGACCGCCTGGTCCGAGAGTCGTTTAGGGTTTAGGGTTTAGGGTTTGGTATGAAGACCCCCTGTTTTGCCATAGTTTCCGGATTAGGCTGAGTTGCATGTATGGGTCGTGGGTGGGTGAGTCACGAAGCTTGGGAGCAAGCCTCGATCTCCAACAGCGGACAGGTTGGGCATGTTTGTACTCCGAGTGCAGGTGAGCCCAGTACCGTCCTCCGATAATCATGAAGTCAACTGGGGACGAACTGGGAGCTATCATGGAACGTGCGTCTGTCCAAAGTTCTGTCTTGGCAGCACGGGAACCGTGTAGAACGTTCAGGATTTGTTTTATAATTTGCTTCGAGGCAGGAAGCAGAACCCTTTCAGAAACCCGCCAGACCCTGACGATCCAAACCCGAACCTCGCCTGGCTTGTTCGAGTGTGAGTGCCGAAACCCAGACCCATACCTCGAGAAGGACCTCTAGGCTCCTCTAGATGGCACCAGGTAGCCTCTCCTGCTGCCTCCGGAGCTGTGCAGACTTCGATTGTCCCGAGGTCCAACTCGGGGGTTAGGATGCTGGGCGTGCTTGCACATTGAGCGTTTTGGGGCTTTGGATTTCGCTCTTCTCTACCACCGTCGCTTCCTGCATGCTCCAAGGCCAAGATTGCCTCTCTCGCCTACCAGATATTACGGAGTTGTGTAAGTTGATGGCACACGACACAGTTGCGTAAGTAGATGTCGATGTAGGTCGTAGGTATACCAACTGCATGCCATTTCTGTAATGCAAGAAGCTGTGGCAGCTCTTTCTGCCTCTCAATGCCATTGAACTGCCAGTGTAAGCCCATGGGCTCCGAAAGTTTCACGGTGTTCAAGAAGTGTTGCTCCCTGGGTGGCTGCAGGGCAGCAAGAAGGCCGGCTTTGCAGAGGACCCTGGTAGCCACGCTCTTGGCGTCATGCTGGATTCACAACGACGCGGTGCCCAATTTCTGCGGCATGGCAGCAGGCAGCATTTGCGTACAACTGCCTTCGTGGGAAGCCACAGTTACACCCTATCACCGAAGCTTCGCAAGCCGACTTCCTTGTGGAGTCCGAGAACGAAGGCGACAAGCGCCGGGTCCCAGCCCAAATGATGATGGTGAGGCGCGGCGGCTGACAGCGCAAATCACGAAAGCCGGCTCGGCTTCGAAGTTGCTGGCGCTTCTGGAGAAACCTTTGGTGGCTGCCAACCTCTTCAACCACTTCCACATGTCTGCGGCCTGGACTACGCTTGCCAGATTCAAGAAGAGGCGTCAGTTTCGCAAGGCGGATGCGAATAGCCCGGTGTGGGCCAAGCTGTCAGCCCGGTTGCATAAGATGCTCCACAAAGATTTGCTGCCACCACGAGAAGCGGCCAATGTTTTCTACTCGGTGGGCGAGCTTTACGAGGAGATAGACAGGCACATGACGCAGGTGCTGCCAAAGCTTTGCAGAGCTGCGAAAGCGAAAGCTCGCGGAATGAATGCTCAAGCGATTTCTAACTGCATGCTGGCAGCGGTGAGGCTCCAAGATGCATCACCCGAGGTGCTGGATGCCGTGCCAGCTCTTTCAAGGCGCATATCGGACAAGGTTGAGGACATGGTTCCTCAAGCTTTGTCCAACTGCCTGTGGGCAGCTGCGAAGCTCCAAGATGCATCGCCAGAGGTGCTGGATGCCACGCTAGCTCTTGCAAAGCGCATACCGGGCAAGGTTGAGGAGATGAAACCTCAAGAGTTGTCCAACTGCCTTTGGGCAGCTGCGAAGCTCCAAGATGCATCGCCAGAGG